GACACCCCTAAAGCACCATGGTCCATGTATCTCTGCCTAGCCTTCCTTAATTAGATCTATACTCCACCAACATAATTGGTGATCTTGTTCCTAAATTCACAATAACCCAACATACAAATTGATCCATAACAACGATAACTCCACCAATCCATATCACCTTACCTAGTAGAAATAAGTTGTAAAACCATGGAAGTATCCTTTAGTGGAGGTCAATGCCTCTTCCATGTTCACTATACTACTTTGGATGACGAAGACAGAGATGGGAAGGCGTTACATTAGATTCTCCTAGAGTTCCTTTTGACTGCATCGATTGATACTCGAAATATATGAGTTGTTTGATTCATGTAAGGTTTATTCTTACCTTGCATCATGGCCACCGCCATATCTGGTAGGCAACAAGGACCCTACGGATCCCACCCTTGAGGAATCACGCTTTTCAATCGAGCACTGATCTATTGCAAGGACGATCATGTCATGTCACATCACACAACATTATAATTTGAATTCTACAAAATATGAGATGGTAGCTTCTCTTTAGCACACAATCGGGTTAAAGACACATTTGGTCACTGAGATTACAAAATCGGGACATGTTTAGTCACTAGAAAAAGTTAATATCAAATTTGGTCACTACAATTACTAAAACTGGACACATTTAGTCACTCGCCGTTAGTTGCCGTCCAACTCCGTTAAAAGAGTCTGTTATGTGCTGACGTGGCTAACGTGAGCGCCTAGTCAGCGCCGTTTTGGGCTGGAAATGGTCAAACCCGACCCGCCACGTCACTAAACCCAACCCAATCCATTAACCCAACCCGACCCAGAAATAAACCCTAACCCACCTAACCAGACCAGATCCCACTTAAAAAAAAACAAAAATGATTTGTTTCCATTTCAGACCCAGAAACCATTCTCCTTCCTCGAGAGCTCTTCCCCTTCGCCAATCCTAGAGCAGAGAGCAGGAGCCATTAACGCTACCCCTTGACCCCATTTCACAGTCAGGGGATAGCCTCACGGGTAAACCCAAATAATCAATAGAAGAGATTTTTTCCAAACAATAGATCGGCCGCTCCGACGAGAAACGGCTTTGCGCCCATCCGTCAAAATCCACAAATCTCGTTTGAAATAGCGCAGACATGTCACCGATAGTAGATCTGGCCATCTGCGTAGTTCACATGAAGGATCTTAGGCGCGTCGACATCCGATTTCACCAACCCTCGAGACGATTCACCGTCTCCAGCTTCCAAAACGGTAGGTAAAATCGGAGGAGAGATGGATGCAGGCAAATCTTCAAAACAAGACCAGAAACAAAGCGCAGGGAAATAAAAAACTAGGGATTTCTATACCTGTAATCGTCTCCATTTTTTTCCCCCAACCAAATCCACCAAAATCGCCGCCCCTGTCCTCCGCTCTAGATTGCTCGCCGAATCAATTACCCTTCAAGGGACTACGCTTTCACAGTCAAGGGGTAGCTTTAATGGCTCCATCTCTCCCTGCTCTCTGCTCTAGGATTAGTTTGATCGAAAATGGCGAAGGGGAAGAACTCTCGAGGAAGGAGAATGGTTTCTGGGTCTGAAATGGAAACAAATCATTTTTGTTTTTTTTTTTAAGTGGGATCTGGTCTGGTTAGGTGGGTTAGGGTTTATTTATGGGCCGGGTTGGGTTAATGGATTGGGTTGGGTTTAGTGACGTGGCGGGTTTTGTGACGTGGCGGGTTTTGTGACGTGGCGGGTCGGGTTTGACCATTTCCAGCCCAAAACGGCGCTGACTAGGCGCTCACGTTAGCCACGTCAGCACATAACAGACTCTTTTAACGGAGTTGGACGGCAACTAACGGCGAGTGACTAAATGTGTCCAGTTTTAGTAATTGTAGTGACCAAATTTGATATTAACTTTTTCTAGTGACTAAACATGTCCCGATTTTGTAATCTCAGTGACCAAATGTGTCTTTAACCCGCACACAATCAATAAAAAATAAACCATACATAGAAATCAGACGATAGAAGAAAATGCTTAAACTCATACGCTATATGCCTGCATAGACACCTATTATTTGTACTTGGATAATTTTGACTAATCAGAACCGTTGATTTTCATTTTCAGATTAAATGAATTTTATAGTTTGGATTAGAGAATTGGGGACTAGGGTTCACCCATTAGAGCTTATGGTATAGTATCATGCTCCAAACTCCGGTTAATTCATGGTCTAAATAACACAACTCGATGGGCGTACAGTACGGTAAGCGTATGCCTGGCATACGCTAGCCTAGACCATATATATGGCCAAGGCTAGCGTACACCTGGACCATACACCCACACACCAAGCAAGAATCAATGTTTACAAGATCAAAAGAACCTCTAGGGTTCACCAACTTATACAACTAACCCCCTAGCCACTCATGGGGACGTGTTTTTAGGGGAACATCTTTCAAAACGAGATCCTTAAAATGGTATGAAAACTGGCGTCATTATAGGAAATCGACACCTAGGGCATCAATTCCTCTGCCTATATGAGTTTGGCCGAGTCCTGAGTTTGGTGAGGTACTCTATTGATAGAGTAACCCCCCTCTACAATCTTATGTCGAACATCTACCTCTAAGCACAACTGCCAATGAGCCAAAGTGCTAGCGAGCGGCTCAACGTTTGGCTCGGAAAATACTCGTTTGGAACTCGACTTGTTTAATAACAAGTCAAGCTTGAGCTAAAGCTTCGCGAGTTAGCTTGACTTGGTGACTTGTTGACCTTAACTCGTGAGCTGGCTTGTTTAGAGCTCATGAGATGTCTCAAGATTGTGGCTAGAGAGCCAACTAGATCACCGACTTACGAGTGAATCGATCTATATTTTAGGAGTTGGATTCTAAGAAGTCGCATGATTGTTATATTATATATCTCACCATATATGAAGTTTAACATGTTTAGCATGTACGAAAATATGTCTGTTTCTAATTTTAACAAGAAATTATGTGCCAGAAATTGCTCCAATGCTATGAAATAGCATGCTTTGAATGATTTAAATCTATTAACTAAATAATATGATACCAACAAAGTATAATATGAGATGAGTTAATGTTGAACATTTGACTATTAGTATTTTTCCATATGACATCAATCACATGCATCATATATGAATACAAAATGAATGTACCAAATACGAGCTAAGTTTTTAGAAAACAAGTCTAGTTCGAGCTTGACTCGACTTATTAATAAACAAGTCCTTCTGTCAAAACTTCCATATGAACACCAACAACCACGATTGAACCGTGGTTTGGGCGACACAAATGTCTAAAATACCCCTAATAATTTCACTTTAATATTTTTGTTTCTAGTCTATAGCCCAATACCCTGAATAATTTGAGTTTAATGAAACTTATTAGAAATAAATGGACGAATAAAAATTGCATTTCCCCTCCCATTTTGTCGGGGCCAGGTTGTCTACACCACAGTTGGACCGTGGTTGACAATTTTTGGATGAAAATCTTAACATAAGCGTGTGTTTGATAATTTTTCTAAGACATAAGAGTGTGTTTGATGTGAAAAATAGTAGAGAGACATTTTTTTATTTATAAAAATACATGCTAGAGTGTCGTATTATACCTATAACTCTTTACTTCAATACTGAATATAGATTATAGATAGATTATCTTAAAGTACAGCGGTAGACACTCTCGCCCAAGAGGAGGATGCTTTATTCTGGTCGACGGCAGCGGATGGGAGGTTCTCTATCAAGTCGGCCTATGAGTTACATTCGGCTCCTGACATGCAGCCGAGGGATGAGATTTGGAAGGTGATCTGGAGTTTGCCAGTGCCGGAGAGGATTAGGTGTTTTATTTGGTTGCTATTCAGGGCAAGATAGCAACAAACGTTCTCCGTGCTCAGAGGAAATCAGCAGATTCACCTATGTGTGTGCGATGCACAGGGCAGCCTGAGACGTTTCTTCATGTTCTGAGGGATTGCGCCCCAGCGCTTTTCTTCTGGTCCAGAGCTGTGTCGCAGCAGAAGCAGCATGAGTTTTTCAGCGCCACTCACGAGGTTTGGTTCCGCAGTAATCTCTTGAGCAAGGAGTCGACCAGCTCAGGTATTAATTGGCCTGGTTTTTTCAGCATGGCATGCTGGTTATTATGGAAAAACCGCACCACTATGGCGTTCAAGGGAACTAGTGCAGCGATGACAACACCCTCACTCTGGCACTCCATTATGGTTAAGAGCAAGCTTTGGAATGATTCCTGGCATGCCCCAGACCCCTTCTCCAATCTCAAGAAGCAAGTGACTGCGTGGGTTATGGCGGACATCGGTTGGGCGCCTCCTGCGGAAGGTTGGGTTATGGTGAACACGGATGGGGCTTCTAATGGAAATCCGGGGCCAGCCGGTGCTGGTGGGGTGGTGTGAGGCCCTCTGGGAAACTGGTTGGGAGGTTTTGCGGCAGGAATTGGCACGGCAACTGCTGTGTTGGCTGAGCTGTGGGCCATCTACTATGGTTTGGAGCTCACTTGGAATCTCGGTCACCAGGTGGTGAAGTTGCTTCGGATTCTCAACTTGCGATTCAGCTGATTCAGGAACGTCATGATCCCATTCATCCTTATGCGACCCTCTTGAACCTTATCCGCAGGGAAATCGGGCAAGATTGGTTGGTTAGCTTGACTCATACCTATCGCGAAGGGAATAGAGTCGCGGACTGGCTCTCGAAGCACAATCTCGTCTATCCCTACGGTATGCATGAGTTAGTTGATCCACCTGTAGGGGTTATCCCGCTGCTGCAAGATGACGTGATGGGTGTTACTTTTGAGCGCCGGGTTGTGGCGACCTCCTCTTCTACTAGCTAGTCTACCTCTGTAATCCATCTTTTTCTTGGCTTCGGCCTCCCTTGGTATCAAAAAAAAATTTATATATTTTCTTAAAAATCACATATAAATTGATTACTTAAATCCCAACCAGATCATACTAATTGCTAAACGGACTCACCGATATAAAATTCAGCTTAACATGGCCAAGACAGCAGAAGCCCAGTCGGTTAATCGAAGAAGCCCGATAAATCGGGGGAAAAAGGGAGGAGGCCGGCCCATTAATTATTGATCCAACGGACGCATCTCCGCGCCCAGCGCCATGAATGGGTGGCAGTCTGTCTGTCATGTCATGTGTCTTCTGCCTCTGTTTTTTTTCCTTTCCTTCTCTCGATTTCTGCGTGAATCTCAGGCCACCATAAAAAAAAATACAAAGATCGGACCTCCCTCTTCCTCCCTCTTCCCACTTCCCATATCTAATAGTGTATCATCGCCGGCGACTCCCTTAATCCTCCAGAGTCCTCAGGTAATCAATCAATCAGAATCCCCCAAAAAGGGAAACAAGACGTTGAAATTCTTGTTTCTTCTGCAATTAAGATTATTTCCCGGGAAATCAATTTAGCAACTTCCGATTTCTTTGGATTCCAGCTCACACCGCGTCCTTTGATTCTTTTCTCGGCCCCGGTTTCGGCTGGGAGCTCGCTCAGGCTTTTCTGAATCGGAGATGGCGAGTGGAAATGCAGACAAGGAAATGATGGTGGAGCAAGAGGGTGGTCAACTCGATCAACACGCTGGGAACAACGAGAGCGGAGATCCCAAAGTCTCCGATGGAAACGCCGACAACAACCCTTCTCCCTCGCCGGAGCAGGAGGTGAGTACTAGCTAGTTCATCATTTGCTTTGGAGAACCGGAGCTTCCCCCGGATTTGGGTTTTTTATTTTCGTTTTTTGTGCAGGAGCAAATAATTCGGAGCAAGTATGGAGGGATTCTGCCCAAGAAGAAGCCATTGATATCCAAGGTTAGTGGAAATGGGGAAAAGAAGGGAGATAAGTTCTTTAAACTGTGACTGAGATTTCTCCTTCTGGTCAGTGATTGATTCAGTGTTTGTTTGGTTTAGGATCATGAGCGTGCTTTTTTTGACTCTGCGGATTGGGCACTGGGAAAGGTTTCCCTCAATTTCTCGCTTCCTTATCCATTGAAAAAGCTTGCTTCTTTCTCATATCTATCATAGTTAGTAATCATTTGAATATTACATGAGCAGCAAGGAGCACAAAAGCCTAAAGGACCTCTCGAAGCTCTCCGCCCCAAGTTGCAGGTAAAAATACCTCTCTTCTCTGTTCTCACTTTTGGGATTTCCTTCCCTTGGGTGTTCTTTAAGTCAGAAAAGATCAACATTTTGGGTTACTCTTCTGCTGGATTCTGTTTGCAGCCAAATCGACAGCAGCATTCAAGAGCCAGGCGATCGGCCTATGCTCCTGGTGAAGGTAAATAGATGTGCTACGGTTGATCGACGCTATTGCTCGCTCTCTCGAGAATTTTTTCGGATTATGATGCATAAATGACGAAGAGCTTCGTGTTTTGATACTGGAAATGGCAGGTGGAATGGCAGCTGAGGATGGGACTTCCCCCACAGACGATGAACCTGGTCGATCGGGCGAATCAGCTGCTGCTGCAGAGGAGCATATGGAGCAATCCCAAGTTCAATAGAGTTTCTCCCCTCACTCATCCAGAGGTTGATTTTTGCTGTTGTTCAATGTGCTTCGTGGGTTTCGGGGCTGAACATGAACTAGACAAGGAAGGGTGGATTTTCTGAATAACCAGGCGTTGAGATGTTTTTCTTGTTTTGCTGCATCTGTTTTCTGTTACTGAGATGTTCTTGATACCGAGTCTTCAGAACTACTTGAGGAAGATTGAATCGAACCGAGAGAAGTCCAGGTTTTGTTTTGTATGTTGATCTCCTCTTTCTTGTCTCTGCTGTTAAGAATACTGATCTGCACAAGTCGTGCCATTCAACGAGACTATCTGGTTATACGAAAATCGAATTTATTATCGGGATCAAGTTACCCAAAAAAGCATGACCAAGCAATAAGAATGTACCAATTAAATGGGGGTAATGGACCAAGTGACTACTACTGGCTACTTACTGACCAACCTACATCTATACAGGAAATCAGATTACATGAAACTATTAGCAGCACGTTCGAGTTTCTACACCCTGCTCTAGTTCAAGTGAAAAAGCTTCAAATGAACAAAACCTCCTCCAGGCTCCACCTTTCCTTCAGGCAAGGATGTCAAGTCTCTTGACTAAAACAGCCAGAAACCAGAGCATTTCTTTTCCCTTGTGCTTTCTTGTCCAAGTAAAGATCCCTTGCCGTCTACTGGCAGGCTGCTGGCCACTCATCAAAGCAAAATCCGGTATTCGGGTTCCACCTGCAACAACGGTTACATGACCTACTTCTCATTGATGGTTACAATCTTCATGCTACTAAATGCAGCCCGAGGACTATACCCATGAACAATCCTATTTCAGTAATCTCCAGCAGGAGGGAAAAAAAATACATAATAACACTTTGGTGTGTATGTTATTAATTAAGGTGGCCAATATTAGAAAAGGACAGCAGAAATACATACCCCTTCTTGGCATCCACAGAAAATCAAACACACGTCAACCCTGCATCAGCTTGAAAGTTCATGAAGAAATGTATATTGCACAACCAAGGCCTATGAAACTTGAAGCAATCTATAGAAGAAGGGGAAAAACGGCTCCTAGCCTACCATTTACCTTCATTGAACTGACATCTTGAAGGAGATCACCCCCAATATGCACCATTACCTCGCAGGTAAATCGTGCCCATTGCTATATTTCCCACAACAAACCTGAACACATACCATACCAAGATATGTGCTTTCAAACTCACAAACTACTTCTCATGGTGTCAAATAATTCAATCTCATATCACTAAGGAAAACTGCGGCAAAGCATAGTGAAAAAGATATTAAACAAAGGATAGCTCCAGTTCGGAAGTTTGAATCATACAGAGAGTAGAAGCAGATGTTATAAGAAATAAAACAAATGAAGCAAGCCTACAATGACATGATGATACAGCATGGAAAGATAGAATGGTTATATAACCAATATCTCAACCATTATGCTGATTAAAAACTACAACAACCAGTTGCTATATGAGTATCTCTAAAGGAAGAGGACTAGTTTGCAAACATTATACTGATACACTAACTATTATTGCTGTTACATAAAAAGCATGCCATATAGGCATAGAGAATGCCTGGAGCAAGCAGCTTAAAAACTTAAATTATCGTGTCAAGGTCCAGGAATTGAATGATCAGTTGCATCATCAGATCACAGGTCCAAAGAAAGCATCGAGTGGGTGGACCAAGGTGAAGTACAATTTTTCTCAAACGTGGGTCATCTGTGAGCATTTTCTGTTCTAGGCTGAAGGCTTCATCAAATGGGCATAGGGGCAGGCTTCGGGATTTGTAGATCGGTGCTGTTTAGATAGCAGAGGGAAAGGCAACACAGGCAGAAAGGTGTATTAGAGTTCTAGAACTAGGAAGGTTGGAAAAGACGTGATCATTGTGGTGATACGTCCTTTAAATAAGAACAAAGAAACTAATCGCATGCTTTTGAATCACTACCAAAACTAAGGAAAATATCAAAACCCAAATACCTGCTGCCCAATAATGGAGATTAATATCCATGATGCTTTCTTTGCGACATGGGGCTTTGACCCGCCAACCTATGAAAGGATATAAATGTCAGTACTGAAAGGCCTTCTTGGTGTTGACAATTACCATTTGTGAATAATCAATCAACTGATAAGGATTAAGGAGCATGGAACAAACGCACAACTAAGAATGTTGTAATTAGTTTCACAAGGTTCAACAGCATGAAGACATACCCAGCACTATTGGATCGACCAGAAGACAAGCTGCCATATGCGCCATAACCACCACTTTCACCACCCTGAAACGTGTGACAGGTACAAAGAAGATTAAGAATAGCCACATAGAATCATACAAAAAAAAAAAAAGGAATAGCCACATAGCAGATATTCTCCCTGATAAAACAAAGATAAGCTCACCAAGGGATTGGCATAACCATCACCATATGTCCCAGAAGATGATGGGTAACCACCATGTACACGAGTTTGACTATCTCGCCCTCCATGTTTCAGGCCATCTGACATGTCCAAAGGCATTGGGACATATGGAAGTGCCGGAGGAAATGAAGATAGGGCACCGTCTCTTCCAAATACATTCGCTTTCAACCTTAGCATTACTTGTAAAAGGGCATTACTGGCAACATCATGGTTTCCAGTGATCTGAACAGCATCGAAAGAAACAATGAAAGAATGTTGTAAGAAATTGCACAGGCACATAAGGAAATGGAAGCACAACATATATAGCTCTAAATCATTCACCTGCACCATTTCATCCTCTTCAGTGGCAATCTTGGGAAGATTATCCTCAGAAAGAATCCTTATACTTGCCCTAGTTACACTCCTCATCTCAGAAATAATGGAACCACCTTTACCCATAAGGCATCCAACCTGTGATCTTGGTACAAGTAAACGGGTGGTGAGTACAGAATCTCCAGAGTCCCTTTCAGTTCTCTCACTGCATCGAGGCTGCAATTTCAGTGCTGCATTGATAGTCGGAGATTGATCATCCAAAACCTACAGAACACACATGCTCAGTTGGTCAATAATGAACCACTATACAGGCTTTCTTAACCATGCAGCCTCGGTTCCCTACAACAATCCCCCACATTTTTTCTTTCCCTTTTCCCATACATATCAGAAAGATACAAATAGATAGCCCACCTCTTTTGCTGATACAAAGATAACGCAATCATCTCCTTCAGCAGCGGAGCTATCAACTTTGATGGAAGCCCTAGTTTCCTGACGAATTTGTTTGATTATAGCACCTCCTTTACCAATCACACTTCCTATATTTCCAATTGGACAGAGCAGGCGAACAGCAAAATCCCTGGCAGACCCACCATCGTCTCTTGAATCAGGGTACGAGGATGGCCAGCCACCTTTGTAGCTTCCATAAGCACCCATTGCTGGGACACCAGCATTTGGTGCTGCGAACATGCCACCAGACTGATACGGGTTGTTGGAAGTAGACAAAAGCAAGTGCTGGAAGCGAGAGGGATTCTCATGAAGGCGAGTCGCTACTTGAAGAAGAGCCTTCTTCACAACTGCAGGTTCTCCTACAATCTAAAACACCACATCAAATGGCAGAAAAGGGAAGAAGCAAATTAACCACGCTGAATCACAAAGGGTTTCCATAATTGGAAAGAGGGTTTACTCGTCTAGTAAGTAAGTAACTAAATTGCAAGTTAATGGACACGAAAATTTTCAAATTAGAAGCATATAGGCGCAAAAAGGGAGGAGAGCTTACCTGGAGAAGCTCGTCGTTAGTTAAGGCAAAAGGGGGAAGGTGTTCATCTTTCAGAATCCGAATCTGAGCACCGGTCTCACTCCGAATGCTCTGAATCACCTGGCCGCCCTTCCCAATAACACACCCAATCTGATCTGAAGGAACAAGCATTCTTAAAGTAACTTGCTTCTGCTGAACTTCCCCAAGCTCGTCCTCTTCTTCCACTTCCTCATCACTAGCCCCGCCACCACGACCGCCGCCACGGCCGCCGTCGCCTCCCAGCTCCTCCGCCACAACCCTATCGTGAACGAGAAAGAGAGCGTGCTGAGCTGGGCAGACCAGTTCCTCGTCCTCCCCAAACGGATTGGTCGCCTCGCTGGAGCTGTAAATCGTGACAATGCGCTCGTCAAACCCTGGAATCGATTCGCTGATTCGAATGCTTGACCTGCTCTCGGCCCTCAGCTGCTTGGCGATCTCCCCGCCACGGCCGATAATGCTCCCAATCTTTCGGAGAGGGCACAAGTAGCGGTAGACGGTGTCGTCGCTGCCAATCCCGTGCTGGAGTTCGCCGGTCTCGTCGCCCGCCGGGTTGTGGCGCTTGCCGCCGCCGTAGTCGGACTGGGAATGCGATCTCTTGCCGTAGTCGTTGCGCTGGCCGGCCATGGCCGATTCGTTGTCGGAGGAAATGTTGAGGAGAATCGGAACAGCGGGAATTGTTTGAGAGAGCGAGTCTAACTCAGAGTCGTTTTGTGTGTTCGGGAACGGGGAGTGCTGAGTTGATCGAGATTCCAGAGTCGAGTCTCGAAAATTTTGCTCGATGAAAGGTCAAACACGACGTCAGTTAGGCGTGTCGTTTGACAAAACTATGGGCATTAATCAATTATGATTTGTTAAACTTAAAAGGCAAAATACACTTGTATAGCCATAACTTTCACGTTTGTGACAAATATAGCCAAAACTATTCGAAAACACAAAATAGCCAATTCCGTCCATCAGTTTAACGGTGTTACTTAACAGTCTGACTGGACTGACGAAAATGCTGATGTGGCAATTTTCGTCAGACACGTAAATTGACTAAACAAATATAAATAATATAAATATAATTTTTCTGATCTAATAAAATGATAAATAAAATAATACAAATAATTTGTCACCCACTACCCCATCAACTACCCATTAGGCCATTACCCAGAAACCCCATCCTAAATTTGAAGATGAAGAAAAACCTAGAGGCTACGGGTCCCCGCCGCCGCCAACATCATCTCCATCCCTCAAATGCAATTAATCAGGTCTCAAGACAATTGTCGATTCAATGAAACCCAGAAATTCCCAAAATCCCAACGGAACCTAGAAATTCCAACGAGAGCATGAAGATGTGGAGAATGAGCAGGGAGACCGCGGTGGGGAATTATCTCTTCTTTGTCTTCGGCATGGAATCGTCTCTCTGTTCATCGGCTGATAAAGATCTAGAATCAACAACGCTCCCGCCTGGCTGCAATTCCACACACAGCGCGGCATTCCAATCTACCGCAGCAGCGCCGACCTTATCTTGTTCGTCACCTCAAATTCGGGGCTCACCAGAGGGAACCCAGCATCCCCCTCTC